ATGATGTGGAGTTCAATCTGGCACAATAGTTCCATTGGGTTCTTAGGCAAGGGATTTTGGATCTAACCGGGGGGATCAGGACTTAACGTTAATGCAAGCAAAATGTGGAGATGACCACAAACAGAGGGATTGGGTGAGTTGGAGGATAAAAATGAAGGCAATATGATGAGGCAGTTGTTTGGGATCTTTAGAATGAAATAGCATATGTAGTTGTTTGCATCTTTAGAATTAAAGAACGTGTACTTTGAATTTTTGGAGAAATAGTGGAGAGAGAACACAAGAAAAGTATCAGTGTAGGAGGTGAATGTAAGACAATAGTTTGCAAGCCTGTAGGACATGGAGGATAGTGGAATTTCAAATGAAATCTAGGATGAACACTTACTTTAATAGTTAATCAAGTGTTTGAATAGCTATAGTATTGTCTATAAGTTTGAAGCTGCAGGATGGAATATGATAAATACCGATAATATTTTAGTTTTTGAAAGTTGCTCTAGTTAACTTGTCTCTTGAATTTTCTCAGCTTTGATTACATTTTCAACAATGCCACAGCTGGCTAAAAGAATCAAACTGTATTTTGCCTTAGCCCCCGTAACTACAGTTAAATATGCCAGAAGCCCTGCAGTAAAACTCCTGCATCTTCCTGAAATGTTGCTTCGGGTATGTGATATTTCCACTTAAAATATTTGCTTGGTTTAAATATTTCTCTGACTTTTAGAATGGATAGAATGAAAACATACATTTAACTAGAAATTTATGGGTCTGTTAATGTCTGAGTTTACATATATTTAGCTCCACCCACAACACTGGGAGAATTAATTGATCTCCTTGAGTCTTTCTCTTATGTCCAAAAATGCAAAAGGAGACTATTACATTCCACAAAGTTAAGTTCATGATTGAAAAAACATACTTGCCTCTATTTACAGTAACTCCCAAAGAATTGCTGTGGCTCCAGTCCTACAGACACTCAATCACATGCGTAAGTATTACGCAAGTGTGAGTGATCCCATTGATGTCAATGGGGCTACTTATTTGTGCAAAACTGCTCATGTGCATAAGTATTTGCAGGTTCAGGAGCAAAAGCAAAACTGGAGTTAACTTGAAAGAGTCTATCATTAAACATACAAAAAAAATCTGAAGCACATTGATTGGGCAGAGCCTGTGCTATATCTGTTTGATGGATAAACAAACAACTTCTGTCCCCATATTCAAGTAGTATGTAGTCACTAGATTAGCGGGGAGAGGAAAAATATGGGCATCATCAATAAAGAAAGGGAGGAAATAAAAATGGGGTAATACAGTAAAACAGGTTTTATTTTTACAGAAAGAAAAATTCATAGAACAATTCAGTAAGGCTACGTCTAAACTGCAGTGGTATTTTGGGATACAGGAGCTATTCTGCGTCTTTTGAGCATGCCCATTATTTCAAAATATAATAGGCTGACTGTTCTGATGGCCCTGTAAATCTCATTCCACGAGGAGGAAGGGACGTTTTGGAATAGGGATTTATTTTGAAATAAGTACTGTGTAGACAACGCCAAATTTCAGAATAAGCTATTTTGCATAGCTCAAATTGCGTATCCTTTTTTGAGCTACAAGTGCAGTGTATATGCACCCTAAGTGAGCAACACCTTTGTGTTTTTACAGGGCTTGCTTGGCAGAAAGGAATTATTTCACCAAAGTGAATGGCTAAGAAAGCTAATTGTTTCTTTTTGTGGCCACAGCATTTTTGCTAAGCTTTGTGGAAATGTCTTCTTCATTCTGGGAGGCTACAATGTGAACAATATAAATATGGTATGTACAACCCAACCTGGCTGCAGTTGTGTTTTGAGATGTCTAGCCCCTATATTCAATTTGCATTCATTTTTAACTTGAAACTCTGAGGTCTGAATCTTGAAGTCCTTAATCAGGAATGGTCTGGGACATAGGAAAACCCTCAAAAGACTATATTACTGTGTTAGGGGAGGGCTTTGCTCTACCTGCCAGAAATGCAGGCAAGTTAGTCCTCGGAATCCACCAATTTTCACAGACCCACAAATATTTAGGGCAATGTGCTGCAGTGTTCTCTCACTTCTGTGCTGAGAGCTTATCCTGTTGGCTGCTACTTGTAGAACTTCTGATCAGGGTTTTACAATGCACGGGGGCACCACAGAAAAAGTTATTAAGCCTCAAAGTGTGTCCCATTTTCAGCAGGTGGGTTAGAAGGAAGGGAAGAGCAGTGCGAATGAGCTCTCTTCCTCCAGCCCTTCCCATTACATGGCTCCTCAGCACTGCAGAGGTCTCTCCACGGGTCCCAGGATGAAAGACTTTAAGCAACAGGGAGATTGATGTGTGGAGGATCCCTTTTGTGTGCCATTCTAGATGAAACACTCTGCCCCTCATATTGTGCTTTTCTCAGGCAAAATCCCCTTTGATTTTTTTAATCAGAGTTTTGTTGAACTATGGACTGTGTAACAGCTTCTTAAGGACATGGCTCAGGGTTTGTCTCTATCGTTCATGGGAGTTACCATGTTCCTGGAACATCCATCCAGGGCTCCACCTTGTATCTGAAATCCTACTTATTAATCCCTACAAGTGTGAATTAAATAAATACTCTGTAGTCTCTTGGATAAATCTCCTGCCTTGTTATCTAAATGGCTGAGCTAATATTCTTTGAAATGGTAATGCCATGAAAAATTCTGCATAACGCTTTTCTGTAGCCAATGCGTTGCCACATTTGAAGTACTTATGCCTGATCTTGCCACCTTTACTCATATTGAGTGTCTTACTCCATGATTAGTTTCACTGCCATCACCATAAATACTCTGGGAAAAAGGCACTACTCAGTGATAAATGGGGATTGAATTGATTCCTCACTAAATGTTTTCTTTCAGAGTCGTGTTAATGTGTACGTAGCTCGAGCCCCAGCAGGGACCTCTGCACAAAATATTATCCACTGGAGCCAGGTACTGTTCAGCTTTTAGGCTGCAAAGTAGGTACTAATCACTGTATGTTATACAAATTGAGTGTACTTAGTATTCTGAAATGAAGTTATAGCTAATGGGTAGAAAACTCACCTAATTTGTGGTTTACAAATGCAATTTCAACAAAAATAATACTTCTTATTGTCACTTAAACAATGGGTGTTGAAATTCCTCCAGGAAATATGAATACATTTGAGGAAACACAAAAAATGAGTAGGCTAATTAAGCAGAAATTAAAAGAAACAATCACAAAATTGAAATGCCTATACGCTGCATGGAAATTTTTTTAAAACACCATAATAAATCCTCAATCTAAATGTATCCCCCTTATTTAAAAAAAGCAATTAAAGGACCAAAGCCTACCGCCATGGCTAAACCACAGAGTAAAAGAGGCAGTTAGAAACAAAAAGACATCTTTTAACAATTGGATGTCAATTCCTACAGATGCAAAAAGAAATATCCATAATCTCTGCCAAGTGGGAAAGTATAATTATGCAGGCCAAAAAGCATTTAGAGAGCAACTAGACAAAAGACACAAAAACTAACAGCAACAGCTTTTAAAGCACATTAGAAGCAAGAAGCCTGCCAAAACAAAAAGGAGTCCTGTGGCACCATAAATATCTTTAAGGTTCCACAGGACTCCTCCTTGTTTTTGTTGAAACAGACTAATACAACTATCCCTCTGAACCCTGCCAAACATCACTGGAGCCAATGGACAATTAATGTGCTAAAGGAAGACAAGTCCATTGCAGAGAAGCTAAATAGATTTTCTCAGTCAGTCCTCATTGCAAGGAATGTCACAGAGCTTCCCATATCTCAGCCATTCTTTTAAAGTAACAAATCTGATGAACTGTCACAGATTAAGATGATAAAATTAAACACTGATAAATTAAATATAAGAAGTCAGCAGGACCAAGAGTTCTGAAGAAAATCAAATATGAAATAACAGAACTGCTAACTGTGGCATGTTACCTTCTGCTTAAATCAGCCTCTCTACCAGATGAATGGCAGATACCTAATGTGATGTCAATTTAAAAAATAAAAGCTCCAGCGGCAACCTTAGCAATTATAGGCCAGGAAGTCTAAGTTCAGAACCAGGCAAATTGGACAACAGTATAGTAAATAACAGACTTATGGGACATAGAAATGAATATGATTTGTTGGGGGAAGAGTGGCTTTACAACATGGCTTTTGTAAAGAGAAACAATGCCTCACCAATCTATTAGAGTTATTGATCAGTAAGCAAGTGGACAAGGTTGATTGAATGGATAGAGTGCACTTAGACTTTTAGAAAGCCTTTAACAGTCTCTTAAGTGAAGGGATAAGAGGGAAGGTCCTTTCAAGGATCAGTAATTGGTTAAAAGATAGGGAATCAAAGAGTAGGAATAAATGGTCAGTTTTCACAATGGAGAGAAGTAAATAACAGGGTCCCTGGGATGAGTGCTGTTCAATATATTCATAAATGATTTCAGAAAAGGGAGAAACAGTGAGGTGGCAAAGTTTGCAGATACTAAATTACTTAAGCTAGTTAAGCCCATAGCTGGAGTTACAAAGGGATATCACAAAACTGACAAATCTGGACAACAAATGGGAAATGAAATTCAATATCCATAAATGCAAAATAACTTTCATTGAAGAATATAATCTCAACTAAATGTACAGAATGATGGGGTCTAAATTAGCTGTTGCCACTCAAGAAAGATCTTGGAGTCAACATGAATAATTCTCTGAAAATATCCTCTCAATAGGGAACAGCAATCAAAAAAGCTAAGCGAATGCTAGGAACCATTAGGAAAGGGACATAAGAGAGAAAAGATCAGATTGTCACTATGTAAATTCACAATACACGCACACCATGCAGTTCTTGTCACCCCATCTCAAAAAAGATGTATTCGAATTTAAAAGGTACGGAGAAGGGCAACAAAAATGATTAGGGGTATGGAATGATTTTCATCTTAGAAAAGAGATGACTAAGGGGCTATACGAGAGAGGTATAGAAAATCATGACTGGTGCAGAGAAACTGAATAAGGAAGTGTTATTTACTCCCTCACATAACACAAGAAACAAGGGTCATGCAATTAAAGTAATAAGGATGTTTGGAAGGCCAATGGTAAACTGGATTTAAAAAATAGCTAATGAGTAGGTCCATCGATTGCTTTTAACCAAGATCAGGAATGCAGACCCATGCTCTGAGTGTACCTAAACCTTTGATTACCAGAAACTGGGATGGATCATCAGGGATGGAACACTAGATAAATTGCCCTGTTCTGTCCATTCTTTCTGAAGCATATGGCATTGCAATGTCAGAAGACAGAATACAGGCCTAGATAAATCATTGTTCTGACCTAGCATAGTTGTTCTTGAGTAGAACCTGGGCATTTGCACTATTATTCACATCTCAGCTAGCTACCTGTCCACACATGCACATGCTATTGTCCAATTTGTAAATACAACAAGAGCATTGGATGGCTAAATGCATATTTTGGATGTGTGCACATTTGATAATTTTTCCTAATTATACTTTTTATATGTGCAGCCTCTATCAGTAAAAAAAAAAAAAATAGATACAGATTCATAGCTTCCATAGCCAAAAGGGTCCATTGTGATCTAATGTGACCTTCTTATATAATACGGGCCATAGAATTTCCCCAAATAATTCCTTTGGGACTAGAGCATATATTTAAATCTTGAATAGAGGCTCAAGGGGGAAAAAACCCAGAGCCCAGCATCCAAAAGGTCCTATAGTTTAGTCTCCAAAGCCCAGTTAATATAAGTAATAATAATAACTAACAAAGTGGCTAATCATGGACCAGGAATTTTGCTAACAATGTTATTTATTGTGTTGGCAATTTCTTGGAAGTTGCCAGAGGCACCTATTCACTTGGCTCTGAGACCAGTAATTTAATGTAGGCCTCTGCATAGCCTTGAAATGTGATTAAATTTAGTCGAGGTCAACATAGAATAGGTTGAAATCCAACCAAAGGCTTTGAGGTGAAATAGTCTATGACTTATTTCTTATCTCCTGATAGACTGTTTTGTATATTACAATTGTAACTTTTTATCTCTCTTGCTCTTCATATTAGATAGTTCATTCAGGGGAATTCCAAGCTTATAACTGGCGCAGTCGAACCAAGAATATGGCGAAATATGCTCAGGTAGTATAAAGATTTTTTTGCATAACAGTGCTACAGGTTGAACCTCTCTAATCTGGCATTCTCTGGTACAGCAACATCCATGGTCTGGCTGATTTTAGTTAGCTGGATGTCCACTTATCATGACTATAGCCAAGTTTCCCACCGTCCCATACATCTTGTTTACAGTCACCAGTCCTGGTTCCTGTGCTGTTATTTAGCTCTAATTACTCATTAGTGTCTTCTAAGAGCCTAGTAAGCAGTGGAAGTGCTAGTAATGCTGCTAGATAATATTGACCTCCTGGGATTTGTCAAATTCTCTGGTTTGGCGCTGGTCAGGTCCTTAGGGTGGGCTAGAGAGGTTCAACCTGTATTAACTTTGGAAACATAAAAGCAATTGAGAAGAGAGCCCAAGGGTGGGGAGGATATAAGGGGGATTTTCCCTCCCGGTTTTAACAAAGGATTTACTGAATGACTATGTCTAAAATTTGCTGTCATTTCAAGGCTTTCTTTTCTACCCTATTCACTGTTTTCCAGGCCACCCCTCCTTTATACAAGATAAAAGATATGACAGTGCCAACTGCAATATGGACTGGTGGAAAAGACTTGCTTGCAGACTTAAAGGATATTAATATTTTACTCCCTCAAATTATTAATCTTGTTCATTATAAAAACATTCCTGAATGGGCACATTTGGATTTCATCTGGGGGCTGGATGCGCCACTGCGCATGTACAATGAAATCGTTGACCTGATGGAGAAGAATCCATAAAAGCACCCACAGTAACAATGCTTTTCCTCTGAGGAGGCTTGTTTTCTCTGTGTATGGAAAGGAGCCCATTTTCCTTTTTATAAAAAAGTTAACTCTTCTACTGACTCCATTATTTACTATGAATGGCTTTATTTTCACTGCATCTGTTGTAGCATATTTTCTATCCTGGTGGTGAATTTCAGTAACTAGAGCTACATATTTAACTTCACACCTATATATTTAACTTCACACCTGTTTCAGAAGGCAGAAGCGAATCCAGTGCCAAGTATGTAGAAGGGCTGAGCAGTACCTTGTCTATCCCCTGTTCAGAAATGGCAGAATCCATAGCCCTACACTCAGCATTCATCAGGATGAAACAAGAAAGATCTGCTAGCTCTTGTCTGCGAATGCTGGTCCTAAATGTATTTTGAAAAGTACTGATTATCTGTCTGTGGCCCCTGTGCTGCTATGTGTGTCCTCCAAATTCTACTCCCAGGCCACCTTTGTTTTGCATGGCTTTGTATTTTTTGCTGCATTGATTGACTATGTCATTGTATTCAATCTAATCCCTTTGACCCAAGTCCCCAAAGACCTTTAAGCTCCTAACTCCCATGAGAATCAGCATTTCTAACGTGAACATCACTGAGGTATAGAGGTGTTCTACATGTACATTAGGAAAAATCAGTTATATTTTTGATTTAGGTAAAACGCCATTGAGATTAGTAGCTATGCAATTACTCTTCAGTTAACATATCTATAAACTGAAGCCATGACTAAGCCTAAATGGATGTGTAAACCTGCCTGGGAGCTTTTGGTTCATTATTGCATGTGTATATGTGCATGTGCATGTGCATGTGAATGAGAGAGAGAAAAAAGAGGACACAAGCTAGGACAGAAGTGGGCAAAATCAGTCCTGGGTGCCGGATGCTGCCTGCCAAGCATTTCTCTCGGGCCTGCCCAGATGATTAGCAGAAGTGCATATCTACAGCCAGTGGTGGATATAGGGCAGGGTGAGTGGGGCGGCTGCCCCGGGCCCCACGCTTCAATAGGCCCCGTGCATGCGCTACTACCTGTTGGCTGTGGCTGTGGCTGTGGCACATGCATGAAGGAGCTTATTTCGAGGTTAGCCCTGCTGTGTAGACATGCCCTTTATGTGTGGTTGCACTCTGAGGTTTTGCTCCATTCCGATATGGCCTGCATTTCAGGCTTCTTGGAAGCGGCACGCAAAATGTCCTGGCTTTGGGGGACTTCATTATCTTCAGCCTCAGTGTGAGTAATTACAGCTTGGTTAGGGAGTTCAGTTCAGTGATGTAGAGACTTCTCTGCTATTAGCCAAATCTCCCACCTTGCAACCCTCCTTTGAGTCTGAGACACAGCAGCAGTCTGATGACAGAGAGGGGCTTCCTGAATTGCTGCTTCACTTCCTGGGAAGATGTCCTTGCCTTCTACAAGCCACAAACCTACTAAACTTCACTTTTCCAGGTTGCACCTGATGAAAGTCTACCCTCATGCACTTCACCTCAGCCTACTGGCAGGGTTTTCAAAGAGAAAACGGTGATATTTGCTCAGTCTTTGTACTAAAGACTATCCTGACACTACAGTTACAAGCACCTTATATATTAGAAATAAGAGGCAGCATTTCTCTATACTTAAAGGATAGTTGTGGTACCTTAGATACCACTGTATTGTATCATCCCATCCATTTTTAATCAGATTTCTTTATTAACTCCACTGGAGAGTTCTACTTAGGAAAGAATGGGACACTCATGCCCACTCTAGGCATGTGAGAGAAGAAGACATATCTCTCTGGAGATATTTAGGAACAGGTTAGATAGACATCTGTCAGGGATGGTGTAGACGGAGCTTGGTCCTGCCTTGAGGGCGGGGGGCTGGACTCGATGACCTCTCGAGGTCCCTTCCAGTCCTATGATTCTATGATTCTATGAAATTCTGCTGTCCCGGGCCCCATGCTTCTATAAGCCCTGGGCCCTGCAAAACTCTCATCCGCCCCTGCCTACAACCTGTAATATGTTCAATTTCCCTTTGCCCCACCTTGCTCTGTCCTGCAGCGGAGCTGCTCCCAGATTCTCCTGCTAGCTGTGCAGAGTGGGAAAGGGTGGGGGGAGAAGAGGAGAGAGAAGAGTTCTGCAATTAGGGTGTTCCCCTATCCCTGTACCCTATCTCTGGAGAGCGAGGTTGGAAAGAGAGAGACACACAGCAGAGCTGCTCCAGTCTGAAGCACGGATGGTGAGTGACTCAGAGGAGTGCCTGCCTTAAGTATACTGTTTATAAGATTTCAGTGCTCTCTCACACACTTCCCCACATATGCTATCTCTGCAGAGCAGGGGAGGAGTGAGAGAACAGAGCAGGGCAGCTTTCCCTGTCCTAGAGACAGAGTGTGGCTTCTCACAGAAACTTACCCAGCAACAGCCAGCATGCACTCTTTGTGTCACTGTCACAGCCATCCAGTCTGTGCCACACTCTCTTTTGTGCCACGCGCACACACAACTGTCACTGTCACACACATACTGCCACACTCTCTCCGGGTATGTCTACACTACAGACTATTTCAAATGATCTTATTTCAAAATAGTTAATTTGAAATAAGCTAATTTGAAAGAACACGTCTATACACAAAACCTATTTCGAAATAGCGCGTCCACACTGAGTGGACCCTGAACCGAAGTTAAGGCTGGCCGAAACCAGTGCTGGCAGGGCATCAGGTTAGGACTTAGTGTGTGGGGCTGCTGCCTGAGGCTAACTGAGCTCCATGCTTAAAGGAATCCTACCCCCACCCCGGACAGACAGTTCTCAGGGTTCCCCGCTTGCTTGTCTACCTTGATGAGGGACAGCAAAGCAGTCCTGTCTTGGAGAGCCCTGAATGCCCGCACTCGGGACACTGCAGCACTCGGCCACATGGAGCCAGAGCTGCCCCTGCACGCCAGTGCATCTCGGGTACGTCCACACTGAGTGGCCCCTGAACCGAAGTTAAGGCTGGCCGGAACCAGTACCAGCAGGGCATCAGGGGGGGGGTCCATTGAGGGGCTGTCAGGATCCAGGAGGCCCTGCGGGAGAGCGTCCACTCCGAGGAGCCCTCAGAGCCACCCCAATCCTCCCCACCAGGGGCTCGTGCCCCATTCCTCCCTCATGTCCTTCCACTTACCCCTCCTTCCTGATGTCAAACAAAAGACAAGTATGTTCAAAAATAGAAACTGGGTTTATTGAACGAAACTGGGGGGGAGGGGGGTGAACCTTTGGGGAGACTGGGAAAAGGAGGTGGGAGAGGGGAAGAGAGGGTGGGAGAAGGGAGAGGGAAACCTGGGAGGAGGGAGCTGGAAAGGGGAAGCAAGGGGAAGAAGGGGGAGGGGAAGCTCAGGGCCCAGGGTTGGGGGTCTCGCTGGACAATTTGATTTTCATGCAGACCTTATCCTGGGTTCGCATGTGGCCTTTGATGGCCAGGCTGGCAGCTATCCTGCCATAGAGGGCTACATTCCTCCGTCTAGTGCAGAGATCATGGACGTTGGGGGCATCCCCCCCAAACCTGAATAAGGTCCATGATCTCTACCCTGGACCAGGAAGGCGTTTGCCTTCTCCAGACCCTATCAGGCTCCTGGGAGCTGGCAGACTTCTTCTGGGGAGCGGTGGAAGGCTGGATGCCAGTGGCTTACTGGCTCATGTTTTGTGGTCGCAGCCCTGGTGGCCACTGCTGGCTCTGGGCTGGAAGGCTTGGAGCTGCCAGAGGCACTGTGGCCAGGGTCTACCCCTTTAATGGCTCCAGGGCTGGGAGAGAGGAGAGTAAGTTTTTCTGGTTGTGCCCAGAGTGGCCACCAGGGCTCCCTTGGAAGGGCTGGAGGCTCCCTATTTCAAATTAAGTGTCTACACAGCACTTAATTCAAAATAACTATTTCAAACTTGGTGTTACTCCTCGTAGAATGCAGCTTACCAAATTCGAATTAAGTGCTTCGCTATTTCAAATTAATTTCAAAATAGTGGTTTGCATGTATAGATGCTATTAAAGTTAATTCAAAATAACAGCTATTATTTCAAATTAACTTTGCAGTGTAGACATACCCTCCCAGTGTCTGTGACACACACACTCTGTCTCTCACATACAGTGTCTCTATTTCACATTCACTCTTTCTTTGTAGGCCCTAGCCTCACCTCTTTCACCCGAGGACCCAGGGAGCCAGCCTGTGACCATGTACCTAAATCCATAAAGTAGACCCCTGCAAAAATTATTGCTCACCCCTGACCTAGGGTGACCATATTTCCCTGTGGTAAATATGGAACACCCAGTAAAATTGAATTCAAGCAACTTTAATGGCAATGAATCAGAACAATGTGGTATCTCCCTCCCCCCAACATGCTATAAAACCTCCTGGGCCCAGTGGGAGAAAGGGGGACTTGTGGGTGTGAGCTGAGGGGCACCCTCAGGTATAGCTCTGATGGGATCCAAGATCCATTTAGGCTACATCTTTCTCTACTCAGGTGTAGTATGGCTTCTATTTTTGGAGCAGGGTCATAGTCCAGGGGGCAGGCAGGCAGGGGGCTAGAGGCTGTGTTTGGACAGGGGGTAGCACAGGGAACAAGGATGGGAATTAGAGGCTGTGTGCCTGGAGGACTCCCCTGTGGCCCCTATTCCCTGAGGGCTCTGTCAGCCATGGAGCTGGGTTCCTCACTCCTGCTGCTCTTACCGGCTATGTGAGAAAAAGGGACTGGGAGCTGAGGGCCAGCTTCAAGCCCCTTCACCAGCAGCAGGAGAGAAAGGAATGGCATGGCTGCCTGCACTATGGCACCGGCCAGAGGAGCAGCTGCTTCCTGACTCCAAACTGGCCAGGAGGCAGGGGGGAGTGCCCCACACTGCCATTGAAGTTGGGGGAGTCAACATGCCCAGCCCCCTATCTCTTCCCATGGGCTCAGGGACTTCTGATGCATGGAGAGCACCAGGGATCTGGGATTCAGCCCTGCCGCTCCTGGCTTCAGTTTGGGGGCTATGAGGATTGGGATTTTAGCCCCTCAGCTCCTGCTTTCAGCCCTGCAGGAGTTGCCAGGGCTTGAGGCTTCAGCCCTTGAGGGACGTGCATGATCGGGAATGGGGTTAGAATCTGGGGGAAGGAATGGGAGA